TAAAAGATTATTTCCTATGTGCTCTGTTAACACCATATTCCCGCATTGAGATGCTACATTTTTACACAGTGCAATGCATATTACTGCATACAGCACACGGCAGCGTATTGTATGGAATGAAAAATATAATTTTGCGGAAATGTCAGTAAAGTTAAAGAAATGTAACAACACATCACACCACCCTTTGCAACATACCACACACACTCATACAACCACAACACATGCATATTACAATACACACATTATGTCACGTACCTGTCTGATCAGCTCCAGTTTGGGGTTTGAACCCAGGTCTCTGGCTTGGAAGTACACAGACCTGGCCATTCAGCCACTGGAAGGACCTGGTCTCTGCTGCAGGTCTTTTGTACTCTTTATGGACACTTTGGCTCCACCTGCCAACCAGCTGTAGAAGATCTGTAATTACCTCAGGCTTTAAATACCAGACACTTCCTGTGCTCGAAGCCCGTTGATTTGGGTTAGTTTCCTGTGTGAGCTGCCTCTGTGTTCTATGCTGCATTTACACTGTGATTCTTTCCTGATTTCTGACTATTCTTCTGCCTGCCGATTTTGTACCTTGCTGCCTGATCATGTCAAGACCTCAGCCTGCCCCCTGACTACACTCCTGGATCCTGATTTTGTACCTTGCTGCCAGACTGTTGCCGACCCTGCCTGCCTGACCACGTCTTTGCCTTATCCTCAGCCTAAGATACACTCGGACTCAGCCTACTACAGGTGCGTTTCATAATCAACGGGCCAGTATGACAGTGGACCCTGCTGAGGTGGTGAAGGCTATTACACGCCAAGGACAATTGCTGGGTACCCATGAGGCACATCTGTCTTCCCTGGACACTAAGCTGGATGAGCTCACCTGTATGATGAAATCCCTGCTGCAGGCAAGCTCTCCATCCACTTCAGTACCAGTCCCGGTTGTTCCATCTGTGCCCCTCAAAATCCCCTTACCTGAAAAATTTGGGGGTGAGACTGAAAATTGCAGAAGTTTTTTAAATCTGTCAGTTACACTTTATTAACAACCCAGAGGCATTTAGCACTCCTACCACGAAAGTGACTTTTGTGATATCCTTACTAAAGGGCAAGGCCTTGGCATGGGTCACCCCATACCTTGAACGCAATGATCCATTGCTACAAGACGCTGAGACGTTCCTGTCCTCCCTCCAGTTGGTCTTTGATCAACCGGGCAGGGTCTCAGCCGCTGAATGCTCTCTTTTGGACTTACAGCAGGGCACAAGGACTGTGGCACAGTACGCTATAGAGTTTCGCACGTTGGCTGCAGAGACTAACTGGGATGCTAGTGCCCTGCGTGCAGCCTTCCGCAAAGCACTTGCAGATCGCATTAAAGATGAACTGGTTTATAAAGATCTCCCAGATAATCTTGAAAGATTTATTGAGCTATGTGTCCGCTTGGATGTTAGCTTTCATGAAAGGCGTCGGGAGAAGGAAAGGAGTTATAAGGGGCCACGCCCAGTGTACCGTTTAGTTACCCGTTTCCAAACACCACATGAGCCTAAACCTGAGACTCCAGTTAAGCCTGCAGATCCAATAGAGACCATGGAAGTAAATCGTTTTAATCTGTCAGAAGCCGAAAGACAAAGAAGACGCTCCTTGGGTCTATGTTTATACTGTGGATTAAAGGGACACATATTATACTCTTGCCCTTCCCGTCCAGTAAAAGGGAGGGTCTATCCTGTGTCGGAGGAGCCGGGTTAGACCTTGTTAATCATTTCTCTAAAACTAAGTTAACCATACCTGCCATAATCCATGTAATGTCGCCCCCTGTGCGCTGTGAGGCCTTTGTGGATTCTGGGGCTGCCGGCATATTCATGGATTATGGTTTCGCTAAGAAGCACAACATCCCATTAGTCTACAAAGCCCATACCCCTGCGTGTCACTACTCTTTGCTGCCAGCCATTGGGAAAAGGCATAGTGGAATTCGAGACAACACCTGTTACCCTTCAAATCGGTGCCCTGCACAAGTTAAAGATAACCTTATCTATAATCGAATCTCCCTACTTGCCTGTGATACTGGGATACCCCTGGTTGCAACAACACAACCCATCTTTTGACTGGCTAAATGGAGAATTAACCTCCTGTCTATTGAACTGCTTCTATCACCCCTAGAGACTAAACTCAGGTATCTTGGCTTCTGTGGAGACACCATCTACTCTGCCACATGAATACTCACAATTCCCAGATGTATTCTGCAAACAGAAAGCAGAAGTCCGACCTCCACACCGTACCTTTGACTGTTCAATCAACCTGATTCCTGGAGCACCTCTTCCCAGAGGAAAGACATATCCTCTGTCCCAGCCGGAGCAGAAGTCTTTGGAGGAATACAGGTGAAACTCGATTAGAATATCATGCAAAAGTAATTGCAGTAAGTGCTGCAAAAGGGCCCCTAACCAAGTACTGAGTACATATGCATGCTTGTACTTTTCAGAGGTCCGATATTGTTCTATGTACAATCCTTGTTTTATTGATTGCATGTAATAATCTACTTTTTTGAGGTTGTGGATTTGGGGTTCTTGGGGTTTTCATGAGCTGTAAGCCATAATCATCACAATTATGACAAATCACGGCTTGAATTATCTTGCTTTGCATGTAATGAGTCTATCTCATATATTAGTTTCACCTTTTAAGTTGCATTAGTGAAATAAATGAACTTTGCATGATATTCTAATTATTCGAGTTTCACCTGTATTTTTACAAAACTGGACTTACGGGGGGCATATAACTTGATTCGAATAAAGGAAGGTGATGAGTGGAAGACCGCTTTTAATACTCGGTATGGGCATTATGAGTATCAAGTTATGCCATTTGGTCTCTGCAATGCCCCTGCTGTTTTCCAACGTTTCATGAATGAACTGTTCCAAGACCTCAGAAACATGTTTGTCATAATATACCTAGATGACATATTTATCTTTTCAAAGTCTTACCAGGACCATGTGTCTCATGTGAAGCAGGTGTTGCAGCGCTTACGTGAAAGCCACCTTTATGCCAAGGGTTTTTTTCACCAGTCAGATACCGTTCTTGGGGTATATCATAAGTCCTGAAGGTTTCCAAATGGATTCACAAAAGCTGACGACTGTTCTCCAGTGGCCCCAACCAAACACTCTGAAAGGGATCCAAAGTTTTCTGGGGTTTGCAAATTACTTCAGACGCTTCTTAAAAGGGTGTGCCACCATAGCTTCCCCCCTTACTGCTATGACCAAGAAAGGGGCAAACTGTAAGGTGTGTTCCTCAGAAGCAGTGTCTGCTTTCCAGAAATGAAAGGACATATTTGGCATGGCTCCAGTTCTCCAGCATCCTAACCCAGATCTTCAGCACATTGTCGAAGTGGATGCCTCTGAAGTGGGAGCTGGGGCTGTGTTATCACAAAGACAACCGAAATCTAGCAAGATTCACCCAGTAGCCTTTTTTTCGAAAAAAAATTTCTCCTGCAGAAATAAATTACTATGTAGGAACGCTCATGGGTTCCTGCAAAGGACTTACATGCCCCCACTCTAATATGAGCCTTCCATGCAGCCTCACCCTCTAAACCCAGGTAGGCCCCCGGAGGGGTACGTTTGGGGGAGGGGCCCTGTCATGTACCTGTCTGATCAGCTCCGGTTCAGGGTTTGAACCCGGGTCTCTGACGCAGAAGTGCACAGACCTAGCCATTCAGCCACTGGAAGGACTTGGTTTCTGCTGCAGGTCTTTTTTACTGAGCAACTCTCCTTATGGACACTTTGGCTCCACCTGCCAACCATCTGTAGAAGATCTGTAATTACCTCAGGCTTTAAATACCAGACACTTCCTGTGCTCAAAGCCCGTTGATTTGGGTTAGTTCCCTGTGTGAGCTGCCTCTGTGTTCTATGCTGCATTTACACTGTGACTCTCTTTCCTGATTCCTGACTATTCTTCTGCCTGCCGATTTTGTACCTTGCTGCCTGATCGTGTCAAGACCTCAGCCTGCCCCCTGACTACTCTCCTGTATCCCGATTTTGTACCTTGCTGCCAGACTGTTGCCGACCCTGCCTGCCTGACCACGTCTTCGCCTTATCCTCACCCTAAGATCCACTTCGGACTCCTACAGGTGCGTTTCACAGTATACACACACAAGTTTGGTGCTGTAGTCTTAAAAAAAATGAATTTCAGCTTTAAGCATCTTCTTACATGTAAAAGTAATGAAGCGGCCTTCTGCTGATCCCTTGCATACAAAAACTTTGATCTGTCAACAGTGAAGAGACACTCCACTCATGTTGCCCCACTAAAAGGTTTCGCCCTCTACTGAGGCTTAATCGAACAGGGTTGTAAAACCCTGGGTTATGACAGTGCAAGGATCTCAGCTACAGATATGATGTGGAGAGTTTTCTCCTAGGGATCAGATATCGTATCTGTCAAGTAATGGGTAGCAGTAAATTCAAACAGTTTAGGCTTCTACCCAGGCTTGCAATCAGATGTTAAGTACTTGATTATGAGAAGTGTATCATAGGGCAGTCTCTTTGATAGCACAGTAGATAATAAGCACTAGTGTTTTAGAAGTGTTTCATAAGGCAGTCGCTTTGATAACACATTAGAAGTCGACAATAAGTATTTACGTTTGGGAAGTGGTTCACAGGCAGTCTCTCCTTATGAACAGGATCTGTCTCCAGGTAGCCTTGGTTCAAAGTCCTTAGCAGGACTAGAAGAGCTCTCTAGGTGTAATACAGCCCATGCAATGAAGCGTGTCCAGGATGATGTGGGGAGAGATGCAACAGTGACACCCGTTGAAGTCTCAAGGGAAATGTCAAATCTGACTTAGAAAATAAAGGAGGAAAAGATATCTGGTGATGATATCAAATGACATCCAGGTGGAAAGCACTGAGGAAATGTTACCTTTAAAGGTAAGCTGCCTAATGGTGTCAAGAATGAGGTTCAACATGCGGGATTAGGAGGGGTGTTGCCCAGCGTCTTCTCCCTTGCTCAAACGCTGGGCAATTGAAACCTTCCTGATGAGGTCACGGATGACGAGGCGGAACCCTGCGCTGATCCGTGAGGGAAGGACAGGTGAGTTAATTACAAGTGTGCAATCCCAACAGAACGGAGACAGCGGTGAAGTGTCTCTGACAACAGAATAAGGGTTTTTTAATGCAAAGGATCAGCAGTTGCTGGCCAAAGACTATTCAATTAAAAAAAAAATCATCACTGGAGCAATTGTTTGAGTGCATCATTCTGCCAAAGAAAATCTGGGAGTTATGGGAGGGTGGACCACTTAGAGTTAATAAACTAATGCTTTATGTATTTTATTTTATTTATTTATTTGAAATCCTCTGAATAGGTAACAGAAGATGTGAATGTTTAAGCTCGTTGATTAATATCTACTTTAGAATCTAGAATTAGGGTGCTTCCGTGGGAGAGATAAGATAACAACTTGTGGTTTTGATTATAATATATAATATCTGATCTGAGAGGACATAAATGGCCATGGGCTTTGCAGTATACCTTCACTCTGGCATCTTCCTCTTTCACCAGTACAGGAAGTGTTACTGTGAAATACCCATCAGAATGAACCTTTTCTTGTGTCTGCAACTATCAGCAATATTTCTACTTCTTCTTCCTGATGGACGTGAGTATATTTTTATTATATTTATTCTTAAAGTAATCTTCTGTTAGTGATTACCAGACAGAAAAGACAATAATCCTAAAAAAATGTATTCTTTCTATTAAAGACTACAAACACTTAAAAAAACAAAAATATATTATCAAAAGCAACTTCAAATGTGCACAACAGAACATATATTTGTATTCCGGGTTTAATGCATACATCAATACAATAACAAGCATACAGGGAAAAAAATGTTATTACATTTTTGCAGTAGCCAACCTCAGAAAAAACAAGCCACCCCCTTCTATTCAGCTATTGTTATCAGGGGATCATTGGAAATCATCCTTTCAGTATACCAGGGCCAGGGTGTCAATATATGAGAATGTCAAATCTGCCAGAAGGGGCAGGGTTTCTATACTTCGAGCCACTAACTAAATATACACCCTTACCTACTCATTTTTGGAGTCTTGGTCATTTTACTCATGTCATTTCTTTACATATTTTAGAGACTTGTGTGGAAATTGTTGGGGGAAGAGAGGCAAAACCTCATTCACGACCTTACATGGTATATATAAAACAGGGAAAACGCTTCTGTGGAGGAATGCTGGTTAAACCTGACTGGGTCTTAACTGCAGCACACTGTAATATGTAAGTACATCAAATGTGGAATATGAGTACATCTACTATCCACGTTTCACAATGTTTGATCTTTTTGTTACTGCATTGATCTGATGCCACAAGAGGAGGTAAACTAGAGTTGGATTTGCTTCACCCTAGTTAAAGTGACTCTGATGTGAAAAAAATATGGGGACTGCCATTGCTGACCCTCATTTGGAATTGCTAGTTGCCTGTATGGCTTGAATATTTTTACTAACAAAACAAAAAAAAACGTGTTGCAAATGAGTGTCAGAAAAGTTTCAGAATTACTTACCTTTATAAGTGTTCAGAGACTAAGAAAACACTGAAGCCAAAGCATCAGCATAGCAGCCAGGGAACATACATTCACAAAAGAGAGCCTAGAATGGCAATCTACATTTTTTTTTGGCAGGATCATTTTACAAATGCACCAAATGTGATGACAATAGTATTGCCTAACACTGTAGAAAAATCCATCAGTTCAGTTCAGCTCCTGGACTTACTGCTTGACCATGGAGGCCAGGTACAGTTTCAATATCATGCAGAAACAAATAACTATAACATTATGCTGTATATTATATAATATGCTATATTTCCCAGACAGTGCATTCCTTACATGCTCCATGTTCCTGTGAAGGTGGTATCATCTTTCCCAGGCACTGCTATAGTCCAGAAATTATATCCTAACATCAGAATCAATCATGTTTATAGTATGTTTGGGGGGTTTTACGTCATTTTCAGGCCTAAAATGTGGAATATAACATGGGTGCAAAAAATGAAAAAAGGGCCTCAGTCATGAAGGGGGTAATGTTTTGTTTTCTGAATCAAATATGTACATAACACAGTTTGAACTTTTACTAACATTGCATTGGGTATTGTTGCTCTTTAACTGCATAGTATAAGGTACTTTGTGGTCAATCTTGAAGACATTTCACCGCTGATCTCTCTTCTCTTATGTATAGGTGCCCATACACTGCACGATTATCGTACGATAATTGTATGCGATCGGTTTTTCGTACGAGAATCGAGCAGTGTGAACGGAGACGTGGGACCGTTTCTACTGTACGGTCGCACGTCTTCTGTCGAACCAGCATGTTCGAAAACCAGCCGGGAATCGTACGATTCTCGGCTGGTTAGAACGGTGCTCGGAAGACAAATGCCGAACGGGCCGGTGTGCGCACGCGCACACTGCCCGTTCAGCATTGCGGTCATCGGAAGCGTGCCCCTCAGGGGGGCGGGCTTGCGATGATCGAGAGTGCGATCTGCCTGTCCAAGATAGGCAGATCGTACGTTTTTTTAATCCCTGTACAACCATCGCAAGACTAAGGTCTTGCGATGGTTGTAGAGTGTATGGCCACCTTATGTCTATTTCTGATCAGTTATCCGTCTCCACTGCTGACCCTGGGGCTTCAGTGATTTCTTAATTACTGATCTGGAACAAGTAGAAAGATTGAAAGGTTTAACTTCACTTTTATTTTCTGGATCTGTTTTCTTTGTTCAGATCAGTGACTCTATGTATATATGTGTGTGTGTGTATGTATGTGTATGTATGTATATGTGTATATATATATATATATATATTTAACCTAGACAAAAGCAAGCAATTAACACATGCAGTGCAATGGTAGCCCCAGTTGGAAGACACTTGGATAAGTAGTAAAAAATCTTACAAGAATTAATAGTTTTCTTACTACTGTTAGATCTCACATGACCTGAATACTGGAAAACCTTTGTAGATGTTTTTTCCCCACAGTAATTCTGAAGCAAACGTTACACTTGGAGCCCATTTAATTTCTGGCGCAGAAAATGAAAAACAGTTTCGAGAAATCAGAAAAGTGATTACACATGAGCGCTATAAGAAAGGATCATTCAACTATGATGTTACGCTTCTGCAGGTCAAAATAATGCTGCACTTTTCTAGTATGTAAGCGGTTAATAGTGTATTATCAGTAATATTTATCAGCGTATTTGAGATATTAAAAAAGGTCATATAGAAAATCATTAATGCAGAAGAGTGCACTGAGAAACTTGTCTCGGGATTGATTTATCAGGTGCACTGTTGGACTGGGGTACCTGGGGCAACCCCAGAGGAAGTCAAAGTCGTGGCTCACTCTAAGTAGCATACAAACGGTGGACCTGATTAATTTAGATTGATATGTATAAACAGGAATGATTTGACTAGTAGCTTGTTTTTAGTCAGCATTGTAAAATAATAGTAACCTGTTGGAAGCTGCTCTGAATGGAAAAACAGTTCCAGTCTGAAGCTGACAGCTTTTTCTTCCTTAATACTAGGTTGGGCTTTGCCTCTCTTGCCTCCCCTGACAGCACGTCGCTGCTGCATTATATTACATTTTTGTTTTTGAATTTAGATATCTTTCCTGATGGAGATAACATCCACAGTAACCAGAATAATGAATTATTCACATGGCCTTTCAGCCCAGACAGTGCACTCCTCTTGACCAAAAATGCCAACTACAGGTGCACCAAAATGAAACTTTCAAAACCGAAATGAAACTGAAAATAAAAAAATGTCAGGCCGAAACAAAACATTTTTCAAATTTTCTTTTTATTTATTTTTATTAAATATTTTTTTTAAACTTTACTGTTGGGGGGTTCTGTAAAATATTAGGGGTCTAAACAGACCCCTGATATTCCACACTGCGCTTCTGCTGTCAGCCGCGACTGCCCCCATTCCATCAGCTGGCAGCAATAGCCAGCCTGTTATTGGCTCTTTTAAATTGCAGTAGCCGAATAACAGGCTGGCTATTGCACCTGCCCACTACCTGCTGTCAATCAGCAGAGAAGGACCTGGTAGAGAACTAATGGGGGCAATTTGAAATATCCAATAGCAGGCTGGCTATTGCTCCAAACAATTAGGTTAAAAAAAAGTTTACAAAAATAAAGTTAAATAAACTAAAATTAAAAATACAAAAAATATTAAAAAAAATTAAAAAAACTAAAATGAAAAATGCCAACAATGTTTTAAAAAGCGGTTTAAACTTACCTGTGTCTTCACCGCACGCTCCCGTCCGAAAATGCCTCCGGCGGCTGCAAGCATCTTGGGGCGGGTCCATGCGCGGTTTGTATTTTCGTCCGGGAGACGAGGAGAGACGCACGGTAAGTATATGGACGCGTGCACCCGCATGCAGACACCGTGAGACAGGAAGTGCCAGCAAGCACAGAGGAGTCAGCGCTGGATCGGAGACCCACAGCAGCGCTGGAGAGAAGGCTGAAAAAGACAGGGAAGAAGATCGGATTAAGAGACATCATTTAAGGTAAGTGCTTACACTAACATTGGGGGGGAAGGGAAAAAAGTTTTTGCCTGTAATGTCACTTTAAATGATGCATCTTGATCCGATCATCTTTTTCTTTAGTGTAGTTTTAATCTGTCCCGCCAGCGCTGGTGGGGGTCTCTATTCCAGCGCTAACTCCTCTGTGCTAGCTGGCACTTCTTGTCCCACAGAGTCTGTGCTGGTGAACGCTGCTCCATAGACTTACTTTGTGTCTCTCCTCGTCTCCCAGCCGAACATCTGAACTGCACATGCGCCCGCCCCAAGATCCTTTGCGGCCACCCAAGACTCTTCAGATGTTCGGACGGGAGCCTGTGGCGAAGACACAAGTAAGTTTAAACCTGTTTGAAAAGGTTTCTTTTTTTAATGTTTTTGCATATATCTACTGCTTGCTAGCAGTAGATATGTGCAAAAACATGCTTTAATAACCCTTTAAATAAACTTAAAAATATAAAAAATTAAAAAGTTTAAAAATAAAGTTATGAAAAATACAAAAAAATGTAAAAAGTTAAATAAATAAAAAGTAAAAATACAACAAAAAATTTAAATAAAGTTGAACTAAAATTAACAGTATAAAAAAAGTTGTGAGTGGGGCCTCATGTTTAAGTTTCGCCTAAGGCCTCGCAAAGTCTAGAGCCGCCTCAGAAGGACACAACTTGGTGCCACCTACAAATACAGAAATGGTACCTTCAATTCCAAACTCTGTATCATTTATAAATAGGTTAAAAAGTAAGGGTCCCAATGCTGAATCTTGTAGTACACCACTAACAGCCTTAGCCAATTCAGAGTATGAGTCATTAGTCACTACTCTCTGGATATGGTTTTATATAGCCAGTTTTCTATCCATTTACAGGGTGACTTCTCCAAGCCTATATACATATTAGTCATCTAAGGCAGTGGTTCTCAACCTGTGTAACCTCGGGACCCACATGTTTCCTTGGTCATTAAGGCGTGACCCAAAAATGATTTCCTTTCTGAAACATTTTAAATTATTACACAAAACAACTTGTGCAGTATTCAGCAATATATATACAGTAAACAACTGAAAGTAAATGAATTAAAAAAAATTTAAAAGTTTATAAAGAATACAAATTAAATATTTTAAAAAATTCAAATAAAAACGTGTGGCGGTTGCGGGGTACAGTTCCAGTGGATGTTTATATAATGGGGGGGCGAAAAAAAATGTCTGCCCCGGGCGCCCATAACTCTGGTTACGCCACTGATACTGATGGACATTATGTGGGCTTGGAATACATAATGTCCATCAATGTACCCTGTCCTAATGTCCCCTGTCAGTGCAGAACCTGGAGGGGGTGGTGAGGGTGTCTGTATGGGGAAGGGGGGGCATTAGCAGGGGCACCACGGCAGGTTCTCTACTAAGCCCCTGCTAATGCCCCCCGAAGCTTCTGCATTGACAGGAGACATTACGACAGGGGACACTATTGGATATTATGTGGGCTTGGAATACATAATGACCATCGGTGTCCCCTGTCATAAAGTTCCCTGTCAGTGCAGAAGCTGGGGGAGGGGTGCATTAGTATAGGCTCTGCTGCAGGTAAAAAAATTGCAGCGGAGCCCCCTGCTAATGCCTCCACCCCATACCCTCCCCAGCTTCTGCACTGACAGAGGACAATATGACAGGGGACACTGATGGACATTATGTATTCTGAGCCCAGTCTGTGTAATAACATTCATTGTGTATTTAATTAACATACATTATGACAGGGGACAGTGATGGATATACATGGTGGATATTATGTGGGCTTGGAATACATAATATCCATCATTGTCCCCTGTCCTGCCACAGTGCACATCTCCCTATCTACCTGCCTACCTTTCTCTGATTCCAGTCAGACTGAACTATCTGGACTGGAGAGTACAGTAGATACAGCGGCGGATTGATATCTGCTGTACTCTCCAGTGCAGGCCGGAACTTTAACTTAATTGTCGGGAGCCGCGGCTCCTGATATTAATGTGCTGGTCGAAAGTGAGGAAATAGTACTCTCTCCCCGGGCCATATCACTTTATCGTAGAGCCCGGTGGAGAGGGGACAGTTTGACATTATGAGGTTCCCACAGGCTGAACCACAAATTCCCCCTCTAGTTCTCACTAATGCAGATGGGCCGGTCTATGCAGACATGACACCGCGACCCACTGCAGAGGGTGTCGCGACCCACGAGTTGAGAACCGATGATCTAAGGGAAACTGTGTAAAAAACCTTTGCAAAAAATCTACTATCGGCACAGCCACACTGTAGGTTTTTGCTTATTTCCTCATAAAAAGAAAGTCGATTTTGTTAGACAGCTTTGGTGTCAGTGTAACTACATAGTTGCATCTGAGCTGTCACTTGTAATTCCACAAGTATGTGCAGACCTCTTACCCCTGGTTCTGCAGGCATGTGCTGTTGCTTGTAGTCCTCCAGGCATGTGCTCTGTTCCTAACTTGCTCTTGCACTCAGCCAATCAGTGCGGTCAGCTTGTGGCCATTCTTGTGGTTCCTTGCTCTTGCTTACTCTATTTAAGCTCAGTGCACTACATGATGTGCTGCCTGAGCAACGCTTTCCTAAGGCAGATGCTGAGCCCCCCTGGTTCCTGCTGAAACTGTATTCCTTGAAGTGTACCCATCTACTGACCTTGGCTTCTCCCTGGAAATCCCAGTCTTCTGTCCATCCGGATCCTTTGGATTGTCCCTGCAAATCCTTGTCTTCAGTCTGTCCTGAACTTTGGCTACTCCCTGGAAATCCCAGTCTTCAGTCTGTCCCTATACTTTGGAGTGTCCTTGGAAATCCTAGTTGTCTGCTTGTCCCTGACCTTGATTCTAAATAGCCTTACTTAAAGTTGCATATAAAAAAAATGCAAAAAAATAATGTTTAAAGTCCCCACATACACATTACATATCACGCGAACGTCTGAGTGTGATCACGCGAACGTCTGAGTGTGAACAATAATTTTACGCCATCAATTGCATTTAATACTAAACTAATGAGCAGTAAAAGCTTTTAATGCATTGCCAAGGAAAATTTGGGGTATTGTAGTTTTTTAATGGGGTTTCACAATTTTAAGGCTTGACGTGTTTGGTATCTATTTACCCGATGTGACCCCCGTCTTTTATATTTTACCACAAAATTGGGGTATTCTATTCTGTTTTTGTGCACTAAGTTTCATTTTAGTGTATTTTATCCTAAATTTACAGGTTTGATAAACATTTACCCAAATACTGTGCAACATTAAAAAAAATGCAACCAGGATTTTTTTATTCTATAGGGCTCTGCTTTCAGAAAATATACAATTATTTATATATTTGCTGCCAGAGGTGAGTAGACAGCACGGGGGACAGAATCTCACAGACTGTCACCGATTTCTTCTTACAGTCTGTAATCGGCTATCTGTCCCCTCTGACACAGATCGCTGCAGCCAATTACAGCCTGTAAGGAGAAAGCGCTGACAGTCTGAGTCTGCAGTGGGGAGAGTTGTCTGCAGGGACAGTGTTAACAGTCAACAAAAAATGTACTCCTTCAAAGATAAATGTTTTTAGGTCCAAGGGATATATCATATAACAATAGAAATGGTGTTGTAAAGCTCTTAACCTTAATTCATGAGGAATCAACTTAATAAGTGATGTCATATCACAATAAAGACATTTCTTGTTCATGTCCCATATTAGTCCCCTTAGCCTCTGAATAACATGTTTTGTATCACATAAATACTAGGTGGACAAATTTCACACTAGATGACCCATCAAATTTCCCAAAGGTTCACAGAGGGATGGGTTTACCAATAACCGGAACATGAGATCTTCCTTTGGGAGAGACAACATACTTGTTCCTGAGGTCCATATCAGCACCTGGCACCTCCAGTAGACTTAAAGCTGCTCTTCCTCAGTCAGTTCCAGACCCCTCCAGGGTTCACATGTGTGGCCTCCTCCAGGCTTAAGGCCTAGTCAGCATTTCCATTTCTGAGCATCCCACCCCCAGACTAAGCCCAGGGATGAACTAGACTGAGAACATAGCAAATTCCTGAGTATATATGCACTCTTCCAGCATGCACCACTGGCCATGAAACTCCTAGTGATTGGCTGGTGAAGCATAGGCACTCAAGATGTTCCCCCATTGGCTGCCATGCACTGAAGGAGGGTCACACCCTACTCAGACAGGTACAATCAATAGCAGAACCCCTGGAATTACCCAGATAATAGCCAACTTTAAATCAGGTTGACCAATTACAGCACTAACAATGCTAAATTTCTAGTAGCCACTCCACAGAATGTGGTAGGGGCTACACTTGGAAAGGGATACAAGTGGAAAATGACAGTTGTGAGTACCACTTTCTGAACTTATTGACAGCTTTAGCTCAGCTTTTACCTGAGGACCTGCTGGGAGGTGGAGAGCATTCCAACAGAATTTACATGGGGGTGACATTGGTAGGGTTTACCACTTTTTCCTGTGCAAAGAAGTGATTTGTTATTATTGCTTTTGTTATTCAGTTATCTGAGAAAGCAGAAATGACATATGCTGTGAAAGCTCTGCCATTACCTAAAAGCTGTGATGAGCCAGTTAAAGAAACCATTTGTGAAGTCGCTGGATGGGGTATCACAGATGACGAAAAACCATCAGATAAACTCAAGGAGGCAAATGTTACCATAATGGACAGAACAGCCTGCAACGAGTATTGGCACATGAAAATAACTGAAAATATGATTTGTACTAGTGAAGAAGGCAACACAGAAACGTGTGCGGTATGTGTAAAAGAAACTTAACACAACAATCAACCAATAAATGAATAATGTATTTTATAGCAAAACTCACGCCAAAAACAACAACAAAAATTAATGGGACTGGTTAAGGGAGGAAGAGAGTGAATTGAGTACAGTGGAACATAGTGATTTAGTGCATGTTCTACACCCAAACTGCCCTGTCACTGGCCAATTTAAACCAAACTATACCTGAGGGCTATAGCTATAATATTTTTAGACTTATACTTTTTTACTTTTTAAAATGATGCAGTGTAGTAGTGCAAAAAAGGGAGTGCACAGTTTGTGCCATTAAACTAGGGCCACGGGCTAATTTTGACCCACACATATCTGAGGTCTTTTTTTTTATTGATGAGTCAACAAGATAAGTAACAACAATAATTATTGTCATTTGATACAGAATGAAGAAGCATAATGAGCAAATAAAGCAGATCCATAAGAGCAAGTTCCACACTCTTCCTGTATAGTGTAAAACACGTGTAACACAAAAACAAATGACAATGTAACATCTCAGATAGGATTAGCATGGGTAGATGGTTGTCATCTCCCACTGTATCCATCGGTACATTGCACAATGCCTTAACTTCCAAAGAAGGGGTGGTGGCACACAAGACAGTGCATCACACTAGTCAGAGATATAGTTGTCAGTTAGCAAAAAACATAAAGACTAGGGAAACAGGAAGGACTAGGGAAATTCTGGGTACAGAGGGAAAAAGCAAGGGTCTAGAACCAAGGCAGGAAGTAAGAAACCTGCAAATGGTCAGGATACAGGAGAAGGGTGGAAAGGGCCGGCCAGAAAGAAAAGAGCCCAGTACCTCTCTATGCAGTAGTCTAAGGGGCCAGGTGGAACAAGGGTACCCACCTCAGGTTCAGGTATCTCCAGCCGGTCCCCAGGGGGCCTCTGGGAGCAGTGTGGTGAGAAAGTCCTCAGATTCCCTGAGGAAGAGCCAAGGCCTCCATGTTTCGAAGAACAGGTCCTACGTATTGTGCAATGTAGAGGTCAGATCCTCCATACGGCAAATCTCGTTGACCTTGGAGTACCACAGGTGAGTTTTTGATACCAAAGGAGAGGGATACAGGCCCAGGTGGCATTGAGGAGATGTTGTGTAAGGGATTTTTTGCACTTAGTCCAACACAAGGAGGTCAGGTGTAGAATGTAACACGCAGGAGAATAGTCCGGGCCACCCACCACCAACTTATCGACGGTGTCAAGGATCGAGTCCCAGAAGGATCGCATCCCAGTGCAGGACCAAAAAATATGAAATATGGTGCCACCGGCATTTCCACATCTCCAGCACATGGAGGATATGGAGGGTCATATCCAAGGTCTTTAGCTTTAATTTTTTAGGAGGACTCCTTACTGTGGCTTTACTCTCTGCATATATGCCTTTTGGGGCTACAACTTCTGCCAGTTAAAACAGGGCTAGAGCTGCTTGATGAAAACTCACGTGTCACTGCTAAAACAACCTGAAAATAACTTTTTTTGAAACTAAAATAGTATGAGACAGGGTTGCTGCAACTATCTATAAGCAAAGCTGATCATAAAAGAAATGATAACCCCGTAGCCATATATATGCTGTCAAAGTGTGCTGTCGCTGAAGCTGAAAATCGTGTAGGTTCCCTAACACCACACATAGGGGGTTATTCCCTAAGCTAGCAAACAAAAGGGAACAGAGCGCCACTGTTACGTACCTTCTGGGAGACCGGATGTGAGAGGAGGCTTCCCTTGCACCTTGTGTCCTGGGAGACTCTGATGATGGGAACAGAGCCCAGCGGGACAACAAGTGGCAGGAGTGCCAGTGGTGTTGAGCACTGTGCAAGCCGTAATCCTATGAGACGAGCCGAGGTCAGGTTCCAAGCGGGCAATTCCAGTACAAAAGGGGTTAGGCTGAAGAATGGTCAAATAACAGTTCCGAGGTCAAGGCAGGCAGAATTCATGTTTCGTCGTGGAAGTCCGGGTCACAAGGATCAAGCAAGATATCACAAAACACAGGAACAAGGATTAGCTGACGATAAACCAGCAACATGGTGGTACTGCTGCTGGGTTTATATAGGGACAGTGATGTCACTTCCTGTGCGCGGTTATGGCGCATTTTCGTGCTGGTAATCTACCGCTTCTGCGCATGCGCGGGATGGCGCGTTCCCGAGCAGTGTGGGAACGTGCAGGTTGCGCATGCGCAGATGTCGGGGATCCGTTACAGCCACCTCCATGTGCAAAATTGTTTATTAAATTATAAAAACAATGGATACATGTACTCACAAGCAAACTTTTTCATCACGCTTTAACAACAAACAAGAGACCACACTGTCTCTTAACCCAATCACATGATTCTGATGAATGGGGCTTGCCCCTGAAACGCGTCAATCTTGGCTGACTGCAGCCGGGGGATGGTGATGTGACCGGAGGCAACCGTGGTACATAGTCGGGGCGATTCCATGTTGGGTTAACAGACAGCGTGGCCTCGTTTGTTGTTAAAGCATAATGAAAACATTTGCTTGTGAGTACATATATCCCTTGTTTTATTTATCTTAAACGATTTTACACACGGAGGTCGCGCTCTGTTGCCTTTTGTTTCCTATGTTCATGGTGGAAGCCCCAGAGCCTTGGATGAGCAGCCCCTCAAGTCTGTGTGAAAAACTGTAATAAACTGTTGAAAACTTTGATTATGCAACAGCAAGTGGATCGTTCAGCTGGCAGCAATTAGCGCAAAGAGTTAAAGAAAACTGTTTATTCCCTAAGCTGCTGAAGGCAGCCGAATGAATGACCAATCCGAAGCAAAATGAGCCGAAGCCTGTTTGGGCTATTCATTACAGCCCTGTCCGGCTACTTTTAACCGTACATTGGCTGCATTTGGCTCACTTCACCTCCCTTCAGCTCAGCCAAATAGCCCTAGCAAGTTCGGCCAAACCGAAGGGAAGAGCCTGTTCGCCTCAGCTAATGCAACATCTGAATCCGCTGAAGCGAACGTTCGGCACTTAATTCCCTGCTGTTCACCCCTATTCTCCAAGGGGCTGAACAGCAGAGAGTGAATTGCCAAACAGTCAGCTCTTCAAACAGTTCGGTCATTCTGTTCGCTACCTCAAAAGGTAGTGAACAGAATAAAAAAATGTTAATGTAAAAAAAAAAAACAGCATGAAGTCTACATCCCGAATCATATCAGACCCTTTAGGTCTGGTAAGCATGTTAGGGGGACCCCCAATGTAAAAAAAAAAAGGGTAAGGTTCCCTTACAAAGTCATACCAGACCCTTTAGGTTTGGTAGTAATTTTAAGGGGCACCCCAATGCACTAAACTCAAGAAAAAACCCCTAAAATTTCATACCAGCCCCTAATCTGAGCAGAGGCCTGGTAGTGCAGGTAGTGCAAGAAAGGGGGGGGGGGCGAGCAAGTGCCCCCCTCCTGCACCATACCAGGCCAAATGCCCTCGACATTTGCAGGATGCTTTGTCAGGGGGACAAGGGCCTCTTTCCCACAACCCTGGCCCGGTGGTTGTGGGGGTCTGTGGTCAGAGGGCTTATCTGCATCTGGGTGCCCCCTTTCATAAAGGGGATACCCAGATGCCACTCCCCCTTGTGAATGAATAAGGGGTAGTTGTTACCCCTATTAATTCACCAAATAGTACACAAAATAGTAAATAAACACACAACACCTTTTATTTGAACAAAAAACACAAGTCAGTTTTTAACAATTCCTTTATTAGTTAAAAACAAAAGTGTCCGTCGATGTAATCCAAAGGTCAATCACATCGTAAAGTGATGTAGGTCCACGTCAATAACGATGATTGGCGTCCACCGACTCAGCACAATTAAAAAAAAGTCCCGCTGCCCCGCCCAATGCCGCCAAACTCCCGCCGAAAAATTACAGATCTGAGCTGAATGTAAAAAAATGGGTAGAGCGAGTCGTGATGTCATGATTTGCTCCGCTCATGTGTTTTCATTAAATGCCAGCTCTGTGTCCTCAAATGGTATGGAAACAAATGGGCAGAGTGAGTCCTGTGGCATCATGGAACTCACCCTTTTTTGGGGGCATTGGGGTCCGCCCACACTATTTTTTTTTGGAGGGTCCCCCCTAACATTCCCACTAGACCTAAAGGATCTGGTATGAATTGGGGAGGGGGAACCCTCACACTGTTTTTTTTATTCTATATTTTAACTATTTTACATTGGTTAGGTCCACTTCGGCGGACTATTCTCCCCGTTCTAGCTGTTTGTTCGGATTTGTCAAGCCGAAGTATGTTCGTTCGGCTTGGCTGCATTTGGGTGTTTACTCCAGCTGCTGTACGCGCTATTGAAAAAAAGCACATACAGCAGCCTTTGGTTCAGCTGTTTCTGCAGCCAAAGAATTAGCCGAACGTTCATTTAAATCCTTTGCCTCTTTAGTGAATAACCGACATAGTATTAGGGCAACCCTCATTGCTGTAATTTAAATCTTTGACTGCAAATGTCATATCCCACATGTCATATCAGTTAAGTGGTTTCAACAAGCTCCAAGCTGAACTGGTTTCTGTTTCGTACATACGGTTACTGGCTTATAGGTCCGGAAAGAAGTAAAGGATTTGTGTATTTTCCATGTCACTCACAAAGTTGTATGAAAAGATCCTGAAGATCCTCTACAGCAGTTTGGCTTCCCATGCTATTTATTTGGTAATAGCTTGCCCAGCAGCCTCCCAAAATTGTTAATCAAAGTTTGCCTCCTTTTGACTCCAATACAGATCGCCTTAGGCAAATTTTTTGATGCATAATAATGCACTCCCAAGCATTGTGGTGCGCTATTATAAAAATAGTGCATTTTTGGTACTATTGACAACCCATCCAAATAAACAGGTAGCACGAATGTAATGTGTGTTAATGCATGGCATAACGTGCACTGTAAAAGCATAATTCTAGTCTTAGGCCGAATTCACACTACTGTGCATGCAGCATGCAAAATACATGGGTTTTGCTGCATAAAATGGAAAAGTGTGAATAGGTTCTGTTCACATTTATT